GTTTGGACCAAGAATAGTGAACGTCTCCTGTGTATATTCTGTCGTCAGCAAATATTCAAATCGCGGTTAGAACCGAGTATACACAGGCGGTCTCAGATGGAATTGAGTTGAATAATACCCCTTTGAAGATGGTCTCTATCCACACTGTTTGCAACACTGTTACAATGCGACTGGAGGCAACGGATGCACCTGCCCGAGCCACCGGGCCCAGCGCATCGGTGTGCGGTCCCAGAGACTGGCAATCTGCATGTCTAACAAACAATCCTTGCGTTTGAGTCGCTCAGGGTGTGTGTGAGATCTGGGGCGTTGGTTGGAATCCCGGGGACATGAGTTGCTTTATGAAAGAAATGCTCGCTCAAGCAAAGTGATCCCGTTGTCTTCGTCAGGTTTCCTCTGCTCGATATCTCCTGACCATGTTGTCTCTCACCCTCCGCTGCAAAGAGCCCATTGCATTGCTTCTCCTCTTGATTCTGTTCCTGAGTGATCGTTTGGTCGCTGTCCAGATCACTGGTGCCCTGGGCGGCCTCAATTCGACCACAGGAGCACGACCTCTGCGATACGAGATCCATGACTTTGCAAATTCAGGCCCGGCTTTCGATTTGTTTATCCTCGCTCTGAAAGAGCTTCAAAGTGTTGACCAGTCAGAAGAGTTGTCTTACTTTCAAATCTCAGGTCACTGATTGTCGGCCATTGTTTGCACAGATGCTTACCAAAGGCAGGAATCCATGGGTTCCCTCGAATTCCTTGGGACGGTGTATCAGGCACTGGGAGCTATCCAGGATTCTGCACACATGCTGCAACCCCATTTCCGACCTGGCACCGACCTTATGTGGCACTATTTGAGGTTCCTGGCCTTGCCCCTGTCATTACTTGTGGCCTTGTTGCTAACATCTACAGCAATTGATCTGGCAGCATGCGCAGGGTATTGCCAACGACTATCCCGATGATCAACGTGATGAATATTCGAGCGCCGCCGTCACTTTACGGGTTCCTTACTGGGACTGGGCAGTTTATCCAGCGCTGCCTGACGTGGTTGCGCAGCCTCAAATCTCCATCAACACTCCAACTGGGCGACAAACCATTGCCAATCCTCTCTACAATTATGTCTTCCAATCTGATGCCGTGGGCAATGGGTTTCCGCTTTCCGATCCGGTAGAGTTGATCCTGGTGCTCTCGTGAATCCTCGAGGATCTACTGACCGCGACGCACATACAGATGGCCAACTTTTCCGAGACTGTTCGCTGGTGGAGTTTGAACACAAAATCTAGCAATCAAAGCGCAGCCACTGCGGCGTTGCTGGCCAACGCTCCTGCGTGAGTCAATCCGTTCCCTCGAGCTGGCACGCTTTGACTCACGGTGTTCCAGGATCCAATCGCTGACATATCAGATGTTCACATCCCTGGCGAATTACACAGCATTCTCATGCACCTGGCCTGGTGGCCAATGGGTTACCGCGAACAATATTGAGTCCATTCACAACAGCATCCACAACAGCATAGGCGGATATGGTCACATGCAGTTTCCAGAAGTCGCGGGGTTTGATCCTGTCTTCTGGCTGCATCATGCCAACGTTGATCGTCTGTTTGCCATGTGGCAAGCGCTGCACCCGGACACCTACATCGAACCGACCGTGAATGCATATGGATCGTACTACGAGAATGTTGGGTTTGTCGACTCGGGAACAACCGGTTGGTGTCACCCAAAAGGCAAAAGATGTGGAAACTAACACCTAACAGCATTGGCACCATTTCATTCTGACGGTGGCAGCACGCTCTTCACATCGGATGACGTTCGAAGCACGAAAGTATTTGGCTACAGTTACCCGGAACTCCCAGACTGGGAGATGGGCTCGGACGACTTAGCCAACAATGTACGGATTGCGGTCAACTCGCTTTATAATCCCTCGTCCAACAACACATTCAGCAGCTCCACGAAACAGGGAAGACGACGATCTTCCAGCATAGCCGAGAGTTTCGGTCATGTTTCGCTTGACCTGGCGAGGCAGCTCCGTGTTAACAACCTCAACCGGCAGTGGTCGATTACTGTGCTTGTTGATCGGTTCCCGACGAATACAAGCTTCTGCATTGACTTCTTTATGGGTGATCCCCCGGAGGAGGTGTCGGCCTGGCCCGCCGCACCAAACCTCGTTGGAACATATGCTCAGTTCAATCCCGCCAACGTCACAATGCTGCATCCGAACGACCTTCCCGAAGGACAAGTGCGCGGCGAAATTTCTATGACTCACATGTTGGCGGCAGGTGTGTCGAGAGGCGTCCTTCGAGATCTTTCGCCGCGGACTGTCACACCGTTACTTCGCCATGCTTTGAATTGGAGGGCTCGAACTCCGGCTGGTGATGAAGTACCGCTTTCTGCGCTTTCTGGACTTTCGATATCAGTCTCCACGCGGCCAGTGGTTCCTCGTGACACGCAAGACTCTTTTCCGGTGTACGGAGCTGTGCAATGGCTTGGTCCTGTTACAGAGGGGAAGCCATGTGGCGTACCGCGGCCGCATGTACAGGACGAGTTCTGAATGTGGCTGTAGGTTGCCACGCCACAGCCGCATTCATCCAACTTTGCTGCAGCCGACGAGAAACACGCGGCTGACTGTTTTGATTCATGTCTCTCATTCACCCAATGCACAGAGCATTTCTTTGCGGGTTGACCAGGGTGGACGGTCGGCTTATGTCCTCTGTTTCAGTTCTCTTGACCTTTGTCTCATTCGCATGGTGTCTGTTCATGCTTCTGACTAGGAAACGGCGGAATTGCTTGAGATTACATGGTGGATCATCAAGATTGCCCAGTTTGAAACTGGCTAGCTCCAACTGGTGCTACTGTCGGCTATTGGCCCTGTGCATCGCTTTTCAAATAGATGGGGGATCTAGGCTTTTTCATGATCTCGGTTTTTTTCCCTCAAGAAGCAGAGAAATTTCTAGGCGGACATGGGGGTCGATCTGCTGATATCTTTTGGGCATGCTTCTAATTCTTTGCTTCAAATCGTGTCGTTCCTTGAAAGAAAAAGTCGTTCTTGTGCAAGGCGTTGTTTGAGACAGCCATCCATTCGTTCTTTTTGATTCCTGCGATTCCACTTTCCACTACGTCGACATTTGTACTCGAGACTCCTCACTGAGTGATTGCTTTCAGTCTAAGCTTGTGAGACCGGATCCTCAACATTCCAAATCCAGCCATCAGTCCCGCTGCGGTCGATGCCTACGAGAATGAGATTTCCGGCAAAGCTCCTCTTACTGAGCGCGTCTCTCGCTACCCATGTTCTTGCCCAGGCGAGAATCGCCTTTACTTCCGTCCCTGCCGTGGTAGTTGCTGGACAGTCCTACAAGTGCGTACATCACAGTTCCGCAAAGAGTCTGGGAAGAATAAACTGTGCTGAGAACTCGAACTGCTTAGTATTTCTTGGGCCGGCGGCGATGGTTCGCCTGTCACAATAACACTTCGAGAAGGGGACCCGGATGACCTCAAGACGATCGCGACTTTGGCAGATAGTGTGACGGAAAACTCCTTCGTGTGGAATGTCTCGCTGAGCTTGGTGACTGCTTCGTATGTGGCGTCCTCACCTCTTCACCCACATCGCACAAGGTCGAATTTCTGACAGGCGTCGATCACAGGGACTATGCCCTCCAGATTACGCAGGGACAGGACTCGATCAACTACAGCGGCTTGTTCTCGATCGCGGGTGGAAGTGGGACGTCGACAATCTCACTCTCTGGGTTGACCACACCCACGTCCTCCGGCAATGCTACTGCTAGCCTGATCAGCCCCACGAGCACTGGAATCGCTTCGTCGGGGAGAAGCACCATATTTGCAAGCAATATGACTTTCAGGTGAGTTTGCCATCCAACACGTGTCTTGTCGGTGTTCAGCGAAACTGAGGTATACCTCACAATTAGCTCCGCAACCCTGTCGTCCACCTCAAGTTCCAACTTGATTCCCGCTGTAACCGAACATATGACCTCCTCTTCCTCTTCCCTGTCCTCCAGCAGTACGAGCCAACCGAGCTCCACATCGGAGGCACCTACAGCTGCGGCTACGACAACGGTGCCAGATGCTGGGGCTGCTGGGCAGTTGGGTAGCTCGGCGGCACTGGTGCTGGGCGTCTTTGCTGCAGTCATGTTCTTGAGTTAATCAAAAAGGGACTCCGTGTAGGTTCTTGGGCTGAGGAAATCCTGGGAAGCCATTAATTAGAGCAAACCGTCTGGTTGGAAATACCATAATTTTGTCCCCATTTCCCGTTTCCCAGAATTATGGACAATGCGTCACTTTGGATTTTACCCCTGGCATTAGCGTCAACCTACCGAGCACCTTCCCCCCAAATAGGGGTTAGGGGAAGACACACGCCCCAAAGACGGTCGACTGAAGCCCTTCTCTCGTTAATTAGGCGCGGTGCCCGACGCGTGGGTGGACCGGGTTTGCCTGTTGACACGTCCCCCCCGGGCTGCTAGGCTGCTAGGCTGTTGGGCCGCTTGGCTGTCCGAACCTCCCGGGCGTTGCTGACCGGGCCATCTCCACTAACCCAAACGGCTGATCTCAAATAACAATAAATGCCATCATCACAAATCTGGGAAAGGAGTCTGTCTTTTCGGTCTGTACCTTTTCGCTGATATACAAGAGATCTTTCTTTTTTCTTTGGTGGTCGCGTGAATCAATCACGACTGCTACCTCCGATTGCTCCCTAAGCCAGAAAGCGCTCACCCCAGTCGCCGTTACCATCACACTTGCCTCGAATTTTCTACTCTTCCAGTTGTGAGATCGCAGTTGACCGTGTCATGAGGAGGAAGTCACGTCTTTCAAAAACTTCGGCAACTCCAGTAAACGCAGGGCAGGATATTTTTTTGGGTATGTACCCAACTACCTGCATCACGACTCTCGGCTGGGGGCCGGCTTTCAGCTGTGTCTACACATTCAACGATCCCCTGAACCACGCTGACTCAGTCTTTCCGTCAGGGCCGTCATCACTCACACTTTCTGATGTGAATACGATATCGACCATGCCCGAAGTGAATGGAGTCGTCAAGGAGCCGAGTCAACCAGACGGGGTCCGCCCTGCTCAGGGCCGAGTATCCAGCGCTTCCATGATGCGTTCAGGTACAGTTACGCATCTTGTATGTGTTGCTGCCCCATTAGCTTACCAAGGGATAGTTTTGTCCTCTTCCGAGTCCTCACCCTCGTCTGAGTCCGTACCTTGGTCCTCGGCGATCGGTCACGCCGGCACTGGGAAGTCAGGCAGAGTAATCGAGCGACTTCAAGGAGACATTGACCGCCTACGGCGCGAGAAACAACTGCTTAAGACGCGGCTCGAGGAAGCAGAGAAAGAGAATGAGACCTTGAAGACACGGAACCAATCACTGCAGGATCGGGCGAGCAACTACGAGCAGTCTCACGAAGCAAATCTTCGGCAACTGACACGCAGGGAGAGGCAAGTTGAAGAGCTCCGTGAGGAGCTGCGGAAGGAGAAATTGAAAACTACAGCTGCCGAAGCCCAAGCTGCTGCGGCAGCTTCAAATGAGGAGGTTTGGAGAGATCACGCCAGCCAGGCAAAGGCTCTTGCCGTTCAAAAAGAAGTAGAATACGAAACCGTGGTGGCATGTCGGAAGGTGGATTACGATCGACACCAAAGTGGGTTGAACAAGATCAGGTCCAGTTTTGATACTTTACTACGGAGACAGCAAGATGATCTGGACAAGCAACAGAAATTGGAAATCATCGCCGAGCAGCAACGGCAGACTATTGCCCAGCTCGAAGAGCTCACCAAGAGACTAACGACGAACTTCAAGGCCTACAGATATGAAGTCGACGCTGCCATCTCGGAACTCCGTCACGCCGCAATCAACAATGATCAAGCATTGACTCAGAAGCTGGATGAAATGACCGAAGTGACAGGAAGGATGCGATGGGTCATGAAAGTCGACGATATTGTCAATCATAACCATCCCGATCCGGTACAAGAACAACTTCAGCTTTCACGAAGAGATCGTGTCTCAAGACCGCCTTCTGCGCACGATGAATTTTCGAAGAGAAGCCGCAGCCCTACGAAGAATGTGCTCACCAAACATAGGCGGAAAGAGTCTGCGAAGGCTTCTAGATGAAGGGTTTTCTGAGATTAAAGTGTTGCACAGGATTTGACATGACTATACGAAGTGATGACTGCAACATACATAAAAACGGTTAATACAAAACCCCTATTCCTGCCACTCAGTGTTCAAGACTGAGCTGTCGACTCGGATTTGTCAAGAACGTGCCCTGAAATCTACCTATCATCGTAACCGTGAGATGTGCTTGAAGGACCCCCGCTGAACAACAAACCGCAGCCCTATTTGCCTTGCAAACAATCCTAACAACGGCGAGCAAGCAGGCTAGAAACGTGCATCGGAACAAAGGGAGGCTGCATGGACAAGATAACGATGGTAGTATACTAGCATGGGACGTTCGCTCTGGATTGAAAAAAAAGGGAACGCTTGTCCCATCAGTCATAAGCTTGTTACTCCCACGTCAGGTCAGATGCCATCTTCACCTCTTCCACCTGAATATCCAGTAACGACAAATATTCACTACCACGAGTGCTACTCGCTGCTTTACACACACTCACGAGGCTGAGATGCTCCTTCGCGAGAACATAACATCTCGGTGAAATATTTTTCCGCCACACAACCCTCATCTTCGTCCACTCACCACAAGCCACTACCCACGCGGCGGTGTCCCTGAAGAAGGTTGCTTTACCTCTTCCAGCATAACAGATCATTGTATCCAGTACCCCAACGGCAAATAATGGTCGATTCCTTTCTCCTGTTTTCCTCCTGAGGCACTCTTTCCTAGCCGCAAGGCTGAGGAAGCACCCTGTACTCGGTACAGGGATCTGCTAGTGGAAATGGCGACGAAGACGATCATGCTGGGGTCGCTCCACGAATTCAGCGAGCTGGCAGTGAGTTTAGGCTACCTTGAAATCAACCTTCGCACCCTGACTGACACTTTCCATCAAGTCAAAGGAGCTGATCCAAAATGACAAGTACGCCTTCCACGCCTGAATTTTGAATCCAGCTCAAAGTCAGCACAAACTAACAGATTGATGTAGAGATACTCGCCATGACGCCGAGGCTGCGGCATTCTTTTACTTTGATGCACCCAATCAGGTTTGTGTCGTGGGGGTTCCAGGAGGACTGGAATACAGCTAATAGCTGACCTTTCATAGGTATTCTGCGCAGAGATCAACAGCGAGGATCAAGGCACAATGCCACAATTTCTTAGCCGTATGGCTGGATACATCGAGTACCACCAATCTTTCCAGCCCGGCTTTGACGACGAACCTCGGATTCGTCCTGTGGAAGGCACGGTAATGACAGACATCATCCCAGAGGCATACGACGAAGAGGCCGCCGAGAAAAACATTTTGCTACAATATCAGTCCGATGAGGAATCCGACGACCAGGACGCACTGGACGGCCTGGTTCACCTGACCACCTATTGGCAGCCTGCGAAGGGGAACATCGGCATACTTCCACCCATGTACGCAAAAGACATCACCCGAGTGACAGGCTCATCGCTCTTTGCGGAAGAAGCAGAAAAGCGATATCGAATCTTCCAAGGAGACTTCAATTTGGCTCGTGAAAAGCTTTTGAGGCTTGAGCCATTACTTGTAAGACCTCTGAAACTCGTCTATGTTTATCGCTGATATTCTGTTCAGGAAATCTTCGAGAAACAGTCTGGCAATCAGTCTTTCCCAGCGGTCGGCAACCTCCTCGTTTGGCCGCCGAACCACCCAGATTCCAGGATAGAGTTTGTGGCCATGGACTTGGACCACCCTGGCTACCAACGTGTAGTCGTCAACAGAATGGAACACAACCTCTCGAGGAAAGTCATTGGGGAACTTCGTCTTTGGAACTCAAAGACGCAGGAATTCTATACACCTCGAAATCTCCAAAAAGAAGCCAAAAAGCCAACACCCACACTACAGGCCTCGAGGCTCTGGGATACAGAAGTCTATACAAGCTTTGGAGATCCGAGGAATATGGACCCGATCATCACCTCCAATCCGGACTCGGCAGACTCTGGTGACTCTGTTCCGCCTCAGGAACGCCCTGATCCTAGAATTGCCGCCTGGACGACCAATGTTGTGCAATCAGCGAACCCGGACATCGCCCCCGAGGCACCAATGGACTCTGTGGCGCCGACACGCCGTAGAGTCGCCATAGAGTCTGATAGCGAGGATGAAGGGCCGTCTATCCCTACGTCTAAACCTCTCCACTCTCCCACCAAAGAGGTCACAGACACCCGGTCCCATCTGCAGACAGAGAGTGAAGATCTGATGGACGACGAAAGTCAAGGTGCTCAAACTTCGGAATCTCTACTGCCGCCCCTGCTAGCTAGCAACGCAAACGAAAGCACTCTGATCGATGTATCGGAAGCGGTGAATACGGACCGCGCTGAACAAGGATCCCATGCACAAAACCGAACTCTAGATCTTCTTGACGCAGCATCTGAAGTCAATGTCATTGCAGCAACGGTTCAACTTGGACCTCTGCACCAAAAGAATCACGACGACCCAAATTTATCAGAAGGACTGGCATACAATCCGCCGTCTCAGTCCGATGCTGGTCTCTGTAGCGCAGCCACATCCTATCGTCAAGCAGAAGAGCCAATCGAGGCCGAAGAGATTTCATCCTCGGCTACAGATATTGCATCTCTCGTTCCAGAGGCCCCGAGTACGTCGCCACTTACAAGACCTCTCCATTCTGGTGAATACGGGCAGGGATTTCCAACACGGTCGTTCCGGGGCCAAAGAGGTCTTCATGGCTACCGAGGGCCGAGCAACACCCGCTATCGTGGAGACAGTCGTCGCGGGACGGGTCAAGCTCACGATTACAGTCAAAGTCAACGCGTGGCGAAGCCAGAGGGATTCCGATCTGGGGAACCTGCAGGCGAATTCGATCAGCGAGGATATGGAAGGCCACGTGCCAGATACTTGTTTGATAGAGCAACAAGAGGCCAAGGGCTTCGTGGGCCGCGAGCGCGAACTACTTACGGCACTCTTGTCGACCTGGGGCCTCCTGTAACCAGTGGAAGGACTTCTACTGCGCCACCAGGGTTGGATTGCAATGTCCCGCTTCTGCCTGCGCAAGCCACCAATACTAATTTCAACCAGGAAAACGGTCTCGGGGAGCCGGTTCCACCAAGAACTGCACCATCCGAGCTGCATGCTCGCTCCAGCGTGACATCTCGATCGTCGGCGTCGGGATTGTCTCGACTGAGATTCAGCGAAGCGGGATCCGATTACGTTACAAGATTCATTCCGACATTCGACCAATCTGCTGCGAGAGAAAGGAGCATACAGCAGGTGCAGGAGGCGATAGCAGCGATGAATAAGAAGGCGGAGGAAGAGTCGCCCAGATTCCATTCTACAATGCGACAGCAGGGCAAGAATCCTGGGAAGACGTCTAATAAGCAAGAAACAGAGGCACAGAAGAAGGCACGCATAGCCGCGGCATTGGCAGACGCATATCCAACCTCAAAAAATGTTCCACCAAGGTCACAGACAGCCTCTCCCAAGCCACACGAGATGAGCAAGTGGAAACGACAGCAACTCAAAAAGCAGTCAGCCATGTCTGGGGCATATCCAGGGACTGTCGCAAATGACCTTCGAGCGGTACAGACGACCAAGCTCATCTCTCTTTTGGAGCCAGCATTTGAGATTGGCAGAGCTTTTAGCGGTAAATTGACGTTTGAGCTACAATTTGGCCAAGTTCTTATCACACCGGGGCAGCAGTTGCGCGACCGAATCCAGCATACTGTTGACGACTGGAGCTCATACTTTGACTGTCGTCCCGGATCAGCTCATACCTCTTCCAGTTTCACCAAGATCCTGACATCCAACGGTGCTGACATTGACCGAGTTTTTGAGTTGAAGGGTAGCATTGGGAATGGCACTGGCAAGCTTTGGAACCCTAACCCTGGTCCGCAGTCGGTCAGCTACGAGTTCCATTGCCAAAGTCGTTTCAACGAAGATTTCCAGATCGTCATAAACCAATCTGGAAAGTACGAGTTGCGAAAAGGTCTAGTCACGGTCGGCGATGTCAACATACATGTCCCAGCTCAGGTATGGGATCTCTCTGCCACACTGACAGGTCCTTTGAACTGGCTGGATCCTTCGGAGACTGTCGCTCAGAGTATCAGTGCCTTTGTCGAATCTCTCCACGTCTTGCCCGGGCGCAATAAACTGCTCCTGGTATTTCGACAGCCCAACGACCATGAAATCCAGGTTCGCAACCTCATTGTAAGGCGGGAGAGTTACCACAGCACCAATCGTCCGGATGGACGGGATATCCTGCTCAAGGTGACAGAGGCAAAGAATCTTCAATTTCGAGTGCACCCAGAGGATAAGAGACTCTGGCAAGGCTACGAAGGCTTCGACACCGCTTACAAAGACTTTGCAGACGGCGGTCACATCCACTATGAAATGTCTCTTGTTCATACTGGAATCAATGACGCGCTCGAGCAGAATGAGGCCCTAGAGATTGGGGAGCTTACTGACGCGAAGACCACCGGAAAATCGCTCCTTGACCACTCTGTCATGCGTTCCATGCTCGACATTGGCGTTCAGACGGTCTCCAAGATGGATTTCGTCGGGATGCGAAATTATGGCACACAACAACGCCTGGCAGACAAAGCCCAGAAAGATTTTGAGCAGCTTGAAGCAGTCCTCGGCCCTAAAGCACAGACCATACTGAAGCTTCCCACCGTGGCTCGAGATTCTTCTCAGGCCCTCAGTCGACCTTCGTTGCTTAAGAACAACAGCGGCACTGGCGGTGGAGGATCGGTTGTGCCACAATACGTCCCCGGCGTCCGCATGAACACCGAGGCCCAGGTTATGATCGATGAGACGGGCCGGCGCTACCGGCTGGGTCTGGGTGGTGCGAAGATCCCTCTCGTTGACGACGAAAAACTCTCTGGCTCTGGCGAGTCGGTCATACCCGATGATAGCGCAAGTCAAGCCGGTGCACCGAGAGCACGACAGTCCACGCCAATAGGATATAAATCAACGGAGCGACAGGCGGGCTTTTGGTGAAGGAGACGAAAAGGGGAAGACTACTCTCGGCGCAGGACTATTAGAGAGACTCCAAGAGACAACCCTCACATGGTGATCGACGTGCTTTGTGTACTGGGATGGATTTGTATGACAGCTCTTCCCCATTCTTTCTTGTTTGCTTGTTTTTTGTACGACTACGACTGAATGGGAAGGGAGGGACACTAAGCATATTCGCTTCTGGGATGCTCTCTCTCTTTCTCACCCTCCCCGTCGGTTTTATTAGCTTCTCGCCTTCGGTGAGAAGGAATATCTTGTTTGTTTGGTTCGACCTCGAAGAATGGCAGGACGAGCACAGGCATACGCTATGCAATTGATCGGTCGATACCGCGGGAAACAATTCACTTTTTGTGTTACTCACGACTGTTCATGATCCATGTACAACAAAGAAACACAGAGACAGACAGACAGACAGACAGACAGACAGACAGACAAGTGATAGGTAGATACAAGAGGGCCAGCCAGACAGATTCAGATGCAGGTCTGGGAGCTCCAGCCTGGATTCGGGAATAAATCTGTACCGTTAGCTGGTCCATTTCTCTGACCAAGCCGGAAAAAAAAAACAGAGACTCATCGTCCTTGTCCCACTTGTTTCACGTCATTATTAGTCCCCTTACGCTCCCTTCTGGCTGGTTTGTGTTGCTGTTGTTGTCTTCGATAGCACCCTCTAAAGCGTCCCGGACCTCTCCGAGAGCGAGCGCATCGGCGTTGTCCCTGGTTTGCGTGTCGCCGGTGCCCGCAATGTGCTCGCCCGCGCTGCTTCGTTTCTTTTGTTTGGCCTTCCGCGCTTCGGCCGCCAGGAACGCGCACACCTCGAGGTGCGCCGATCTCTCGGCCCACATGCCGGCCGTCATGCCCTGGCGGTCCCTGGCTAGGACGTCGACGCCATGCTCCAGGACGAGCATGCGCACAATGGCAATGTCGTTCTGGTGCGCGGCGATGTGCAGGGCCGTCATGCCGCGCTCGTTCATGGCCGCAGGGTCCGCGCCGGCAGATAGCAAGCGGCGGACCACGGCCACAGAGTGGGACGATGCGGCCTTGTGCAAGGCCGTTTGTTTTGTATTCGTCAACGTATCGACGCGTGCCCCATGAGACAAACACAGCTCTACCAGCTCCAAGTTCCCCGTCGAGGCGGCGATGTGCAGAGCACGCCATCCGTGGTAGCCCACCGATTCGACGGATGCGCCTCGCTGGAGGAGGAATTCCACAATACGTGTCTGATTTTCTTGTATTGCGACGTGGAGGGGTGGTTGGCCGTCTTCGTCAAGCGAGGTGAGCGACTGCGGATTATTGTCCAAAAGGACACGCACTGAAGGCAGATCGCCTTTTTCAATAGCTGTGGTGAGCCGGTTTGCACTGCTAGGTGTAGTAATACCTTGAGCTTGCCACTCTGCAGCCCGGAGATACTTGTGAATGTCGTAGTGGGCGGTAAAGAAAGCGACGACTCGCGGAGTAGAACCCTTTCGATCTTGGACGAAGAGTTGTGCGCGTTGGTGGTCCGGATCGGTGTTTTGCTCGAGAAGTGTCCTTACGGCTTCAATTTGACCTGACCGCACTGCGAGATGTAATGGGATGTTGCCTTTGTAATCGGTCGCCAGCACGTTGGCGCCTCGCTTCAGGAAGAAAGCAACTGTCTCTGTATGCCCGCCTCGAGCTGCACGATGCAAAGGAGTCCATCGTTCTCTACCTTTATGAAACATACTTCCCCCATTCTCCAGGAGGAAAGCCACCACATCAGTAAAACCACTTGTTGCGGCATAATCGAGAGGACAGAGGCCCTCCTTGTCCCTGACGTGGACGACGGCGCCGGAAGCAACTAGCAACTTGACAATGGAGAGATAGCCACGAAAAGCCGCAAGGTGTAGAGCAGTTGTTCCCTGGTTATCGATGGCGCCAACCAAAGCTCCTGCCTGGAGAAGTGTGCTGACCATTTCTTCGTCTCCTTGCTCAACAGCCTTGTGCAAGGCTGTAAAGCCTCTTGGGCCGGGTTGATCCAGCTGATCACGTCCGTATTTGAGAAGTAGCTTCACAATCTCAAGCTGACCGTATGACACTGCGAGATATAACGGAGTACTCTGACCGTAATTCGTGTCCAGCAAGTTAGCACCGTTTGCAACCAGAATTTCCGCAACCTCCGTGTGGCCGAAAAAAGCTGCTTCGTGCAGAGCTGTGTTTCCGTACACGTTGCGCACGCCCAAGCGTAGATTATGTCGATTTTCCGCAATCAGGATCTTCAGAAGCTCGCTAAGTCCAAATCCTGCTGCCAACGAGATCCCGGCACCACCAGAATAAGCCCACGCCCAGGCTTTGTTTGTCCAGTCCCGGAGGTCTGGAGATCGAAAATCCCGGACTCTGGCGATGGTGTTCAAGCAGGTACTGTTAGAAAGAAGTGCAAGGGCCAAGTCCTTGATCTCCTCGGCGGGAACACTGTAAGCATGGTGGCCCCATTCGAGCGCTGCATACTGCAGGAATGGAACATCCTCCAGTGCGTTCGCGAAATCTTTACGGTTCTTATATGGTAGATCTCTTGTTGAATCCAGCATCATGTACTGGAGACAGATCTTGGTAATGACGAGGTTGGCATCGGTGAAGAGACCGTGGTCGTGCTCACGAAGATATTCCTCAAGTGAGTGATGCACCAATCGTATAATTGAACTCTCATAGTCCACCTCGACTAGCCCGCAACAGCAGTCGATAAGCATCTTCACAGAGGGGAGATTGTCCCTGTCGAGATCATGGTCCTCGGGCCGTAATGCCATGGCATGCTGCAGCTCCCGCACAGTCATCGGTCTCCTGGCGTGGGACACCCACATCAATGTTCTAAACGCAAGGTCGCGTCTTGCCTTGGGCAGGGTAAAAATTCTCTGCATGGTTGATTGGAAGGCATGAGTCAAATCAGTTGAGAGATGAAGTAGTGCTCGCCTGACATCTGCCTTCGTAATCTGGTCTAGAATAGTCTTTATCTGCAGAGCCGGGAGTAGAAACATGCCATTGGCATTGGTGCATAAGGTATTGAGCACATGTTCCTTGAGCTTGTCATCCATCAAATACTCGGACTCTGGCTGCTCCATTATCGTTTGGGCGAGAAACTGCCGGATATCTCCAGGGTTCGCCAGGATATCAATTGTCGAAGGTTCATGAAACCTGGTCATGAGATCGAGGACATGCGGTCTTAGAGTGGCTAGCACCTTCACTGTGCTTCCAGGAGAATTTCTAATGGCATCGATAACCTCGAAAAAGCCTGAACGCTGGGTCTGAACATCGGCTTCGTCGAGAGCATCGACTATGATAAAACAACGGCTGAACGTTGCCACCACGCGGCGGATGATATTCAGCAAGTCATGATACCAAGTTTGATCTTTGACAGCATTCCGAGTGCGTCGATAGAACTCGGAAACAGCGGAAGGGACCACTTCGCCGCGGGAACTGAGTTGGCGTAGGAGCGATCTTGCAAAACTCGACGGATTCTGCGACTGCTGGTCGGAGTAGTCGTAGTAGTAGAAGGCTATGGCGACATCATGGTCTTGAAATTTGCCGCGCAGGTAGTCAACAACATGAGAGCATAGGACAGACTTGCCAGCGCCAGGACCTCCAACACCGAGGAGATCGTGTTTGGAATCGTCGTCAACCCACCGAGAAAACTCGGGATGTTCAAGAAACCATCGACCCGTGCCTTCAGCTCTTCGCACTTGCAAATCCCGGTGCTTGTGTAGGGACGAGAGGGGAGCCAGCCAGTCCAAGATTTCGGTAGTGCGCCTCTCCTGCTCTCTCAGTTCGGCCAGTCGTGTAGCCTGAGATATCTCGTTGACATCCGCAACTGTTCTTGCAAGGAGGGGAACAAGGTCGATGATTGCCTCGAGTTGCAGAGCGAGTTTAGAGGACTCATCAGCAGACCGGCCCATCTGAGCCGACAGTTCGCTCATCTTCTTGGAAATCAGTAGCATTTCTTGCAGGCCTTTCGTGGCATCTTCGGAGGTCTTGGACAACAAGTTGAATCCTTCGATTGTGAAAGCGAACTGAAACGTTTGGGTATAACGTCGTAGATTCTCTACCATCTGCATGACTTCCCTCTGCTCGAAAGGCCACCTCAAGTGGTCAATAGCACGGGCAACCTTTCCACCCTCCGAGGGCTTCAATCTGTCGCCAATGCGCTCCATCCGTTGACGGCAGTCTCTGATGGCCTTGGAGAGGACTGATTGGGTATCGAGAACCCGACCCTTGACTTTTTCGCTCTCCAGAAAATCTCGCAGTCCACTGAGGACTTCACCCAATAGAAGAAGTTCGTCATGCAACTCCCTGACCGTGTTGGCGCGTTCCTTGATGGAGTTGACGTAGATTGCTATTGTAGCGCTGACCTGCAAGGCCAGGGTGACGAGACCAGCAATGCTGCTGGCGACGGAGACGCCGTCCATGAGGAGATGAAGGCGGGTTGGTTGTGGACGAGGACATGGCTCGAGCCACAAGGGTTGCTTGCGATATAGAGGCTTTAGCAGGCGATCTATCAGTTGAGCATGATGGCGATGGTGATGGCGAGATCAGTAATTGAGTCAGGTCGAAGAGGGCCATAATTCGAGGACGTCGAGTACCCAGTTATACCTGAGCGAGATGCCCTGAATAGGTAGCATCTGTAGGACCCAGTCAGTGCCCACAAGGGAAGCTTTCACGATGCTATTAGTCAACATGCTTACCGGTGCCCCAATGGGCACCACCAGTCACTGGATGAGTTGTGCGTGGCCTTAGGTAGATACCTGGTGTCGCTTGGGGATCATTCTGACACGCTGGTGGCGCAGGGTCAAAGGGTCAATGCCGGTCATTGTCGGTTTCACCATCCCCGGAACCCCCTGATTTGCGGCTCACGCCTTACCTGCCTTAAGTAGTTTCCCAGCTCCAAAGAGGGACGTTGGTGACAACGACCGCCAACGTTCCACCTTGTATCCAAGAGAAATGAAAGCCAATGCCTTGCTCAGGATAAGACGTCGCCTTCTCAGCCTTCCGTCGGCCTTGGTGCTACTCTGGATATGTGTTCTCTTCTGGGGTGAACGCTACACCTTCCAACAGAGTGTCGCTCGGTGTGTATGGCGACAGTGGGAATCATGGGTAACCAAGCACATTAAACGCCTATCAACAAAGAGACACTTCGCTGACCCTATCCTAGCCTGGCCATGCTCGACCTCATCATGTCCTCCTTGTCGCCGATCCCCAGCTCGTGGATCCTCACACCTACCCTGACAGACCATGGCCTTTATCCAGTTTAACCGTCATCTACACCGATCGCTACCTCCGCCGCTCTTATCGATATCTGCAAGAGTATCTCCTGCCTGACGCGACCCTATTCCTCGGTGACTTGTTCGATGGCGGCCGGGAATGGGGCACTACAGACTCGACGTCTCCCGAGGAGCGGTACAAGAGGTTTGGATCGCAATTCTGGCTGAAAGAATACATTCGCTTCTCCAACCTCTTCTTGAGGTCGTGGACGAAAGGCCCTTCTGCGAGCGCAGCTGAACCGACAGGTCGTCGTCTTCTGGCCTCTCTCCCGGGTAACCATGATTTGGGGTTTGCGGCAGGCATACAATTGCCTGTGAAGGAGAGGTTCGATGTCTACTTTGGGCCCCTCAATCGAATCGACATCATCGGTAATCACTCATTTGTTCATTTGGACACAGTGTCTTTGAGTGCCATGGATCAGGTCGATCCAGTAACAGGGAGTTCGGGAGCAGGGGATGGGAGTGCCGCTGCGACTTCCTCTAGCAGGATATGGAAACCTGTTGAGGACTTCCTCGTGGCAGCCAAATCCATTAGGGCCAAGGCCGTGCAACATACATGCGAGACCAGACTCGACTGGAAACGTCCACTGCCGCAATTGCAGTCCCCGTCGATACAAAACGCTGCTGACGTCGAACAATCGGACGCAACACAGAGAATTCACTACCCAGTCAGCTCGTCTCAGTTCCCAACAATTGTACTCTCGCACGTCCCCCTTTACCGATCCAGTGAGACCAATTGTGGACCGATGCGAGAACGAGGCAATGTGATACCTCTGCAAGCAGGCTACCAGTATCAAAATGTCCTTACCCCACTCATCTCACAAGATATAGTCAAGCATTTGACTGCAGAGGAGATCACGATGATCTACTCCGGCGATGATCATGACTATTGCGAAATCGAGCACAACGAGTTCACTGGCCGCATCAGAGAAATCACTGTCAAAAGTATGAGTTGGGCTATGGGCATCCGCAAACCAGGGGTTCAGCTCGTCAGTCTCTGGAATCCGGTCGATGTGACCAAGGCGATGTCTAGCGATTCATCGCTGTCCACGCCGCGAGATACGGTACAAAATCATCTGTGTCTGCTCCCAGACCAATTGAACATCTTCATCCGCTACGGCCAGGTACTTGGCTTGACCCTTTGCATCCTCCTCCTATGTACTCTCCGGTACAATCCTTCGACAGCGACTGAAGAAGCATATCGCGACAAATCCGAACCATTACTACCCACCAGTGAAAGCCACAGTCATCACATTCACACCCTTGACACATCAAAAAGTTCTTGCGTCCAGAACGGCCCAGCAGGACAACGACTATCCACGCGTAAAATGGGCGGGTACGGACACCTCCCTGCTTCATCGCGGACCTCCTCGCCGTCTAAGCCACCCTACATCGACTACGCTCCAAACAGTTCTCCTAGCCCAGGCGAACTAGACAGTGACGACTGGGGGATGCCGAAATCGACCAAAGCACATCAGTGGGAAAGGAACCGACCGCCGCGATCTCGACTCGCATTCTTTGGTCAGTCGTTATGGCGAACGGCATGGCCAGTTGTGCTGATTTATGGGTGGCTTATCTGGAACGGCTAACGAGTCCACCAAGCCCCCGTAGCCGTCACGATTCGCATCAAACAGTGGTCGTAAGAGTATGTGTCAACGACCCCTTTGGCAGCTAAAATGATTTAATTGGATTCTCTGGCCCAGTGTCGGGGGGACGACAAAGACCACTGGGTCTGATTTGGCCCTCCGCCGAACAGACACAACATGTATGTATCATAAAAGGGCAGTCGTGCCTTGATGTAATGTCACAAAAGTAAGCGGTGAGACCACCTCGCAACGCTTTTAGTCTCTCAAGTCTTTCCACGTCCTCGACTTGCAATGAAAATCAAACTGGTTCTTCGTCTCCATTACGGCAGACTGAGACCGGCGGTCTGCGCAAGCCCCCCATTCGCTCCCTTGGTGGAAGATTCAAACAGACATTATGATAAAGGAAATCAATGCTTTACTTCTTTCCATGCTTGCCATCATGCGGACAGCACATCTTGCTCCCAGCACACATATCACCGCAATCGAGCAAACATGCTGGTTGACCCTCACTCCTCAGACTTGCAGTCTTACTTGCGTTGGTATTGTGCTTTGGAGTCAGTTGCCCACTACCAGCACCCTCGTCAGAATCAGCTCCTGGTTCAGCAGCATGCGGATCATCCTCATTCACGAATTCGGGTTGAATGGTCGAGCTGTGAATGCCGTAGCCGTGTAGACAGCCTCGAATCTCTCTCGCTAGATGCATGTAGCTGGAGGACCCAGTACCGTCAATCTCGCAGTCAACTTTTACATGCAAGCTCGCCACGAGCTTGGTATCACTGAGCTGCCAAACATGGAGATGGTGGGCCTCAATAACTCGTGGAAGTGATTCGATGTCTGCTGTGATCTCGTCGATCGACATGCCCACAGGAACTGCCTGTAAGAGAATGCGCCCGGCGGCTCTGCAGAGGGGAATGGCACTACCCAAGATAATGAGGGTAATGACAAGGGATATCGCAGGGTCAAAATAGAAGCGTTCCGGGAACGTAGTCAGCCAGATGATCAGTGCAGTCGCTATTACACCGATGTTACCAAGAGCATCGCCCATGACGTGCAGGAAAACCCCACGCATATTCAGATCTCCATGCGAATGGCCGTGCCCACCATGTCCATGGCCCGATTTGGAGCCGTCGGCTGGGGAATTATGGTGGTGCTCCGTGTGACTGTAGTCAACGCTCTTTCGTTTGCTGATGCTGCCATAACCGGGGAATCGCTTGTCATTCGGGGACGATTGTAAACCATTGGCTGACCTTTCATGGCGCTGGTCTGGTGAATCGGGTTCAATTAACAAGGCGTTTTCTTCTGAGGTTTCCGATTCGGAGTGCTCTTCCAACCGCGCCGCGTGGATAATATCCTGGCGGAATGAGGCTGGATGAATGTGGATATTATCGACTGAGCCAAACCCCCGACCAAAGGAACCTGAGGTGCGACGGCGGCTCCGGGGATGGATTTCGCCGTTAGCGATCGATTTACGAGTAGGGGTGTTCGAAGATCTTGCTGAGATGGTTGTGTTCTCTTCATCAGACTTTGTGAAAGCTCGACGATCAGGGGATCTGAAACTGCCCACTCGAAATTGTGGGAGGATGTCTTCGATATTTCCATGTTCGTCCACGACCCTTTGTGTCTCCCCGTTGTCGTCGTAGATGTGTCCATGGCCTTCTTCGGCAGATCTCACGGGATCCTCGTGCGTCTGCTCCTTCTCGCCGTGGCTATGACCGTGCTCGTGGAAAAGAAAAAGCCCAAGAATATTGGAGGCAAGACCGAGACAGCCGACAATGAGGACGAGCTTGGGGTTTGAGACAGGCTGTGGTTCGACAAATCGCTGGATTGCTTCCAGAAAGATGGACAAGCAAAGGGCAACTAGAAAGACTCCATTGACCAATGCCCCCAATGTTTCGGCTCGCTGCCAGCCATAGGTGTACATTTTCGAACTTCCGGTATTGGCGACACGGACCGCCCATAGTCCAACGCAAAGGGAGATGACATCGTTTAACATATGAAACGAATCAGCCACAAGGGCCAAAGAATGCACTGCATAGCCTGGAGAATCGGTCAGTCATCGAACTCGGCACAAAGTAGATGGAGGACCACACTAACCGGCGACCAGTTCAATCACAAAAAAGGTAGAGTCTATGCCCAGAAGAATACAAATCCTCTGTGTCTTGGTGAAACCCATTTTTCTTTTTGTGCGGGGTGGCTGCGAAGCGCTTTGCGCGCAGCACTCGTTGACGGACTCAGTGGAAGCGGTAGCAGGAGAGAATGGGGTGAAAGCCGGGGAACAATGCGAGGAAGGGACTCGATGCGGGCTAAAGTATGCCTTTTGAGGCTTCTGGACGGGGTCGGCCGGATGTTTGGGATAGTAATGGAGGGCGGATGCTGGAAGTGAGGAGGGAGGAGGGGATGAGATGATATGAGGACCGGTTGACGGCAAGGAGAAAGCCGATGGCGATGGCGATGGCGCAGGGGCAGACGCGGTTTTCTCTTCGTGGCAAGCAGATGCGTGCGAGTAAGAATAGCAGGGATCGCAGTTGCAACAATGGCGTAATGATCCAAGTTGCCCCAACT